TAAGAAAAAATTATAGTATAAAAATATAATAAATAATAATATTAAAAGAACATAATATTAATTATTTTTAAATATGATAATAACTCCACCTATGTTAACAATTAAAAAAGAAAAAATCGAGGCACCCTTAGGACAAGGAGAAAAACAATAATGCCGAGAGCCATATTGTTGCCCTAGTCACGTGTCATCCGCCAAAACGGATTTACATTCACGTCAAATAAATCTTAAAGGCAAAACACCCTCTTAAGCACTAAATTAAAAATGATGCAAATAAGTTCCAAAGCCCTCAAATGATACAAATCAACCATTATCATTAATGGCCCAATGAATATAACCACATTCTATCTTTTTTTCTCATTTACTTAGTTTTACTTTTTTGCGTGGATATTAATATGGATTGAAAGACTCTTTGAGTAGTAAAAATTCTACCAAAATAATACACATGATTGAAAAACACTAAATACAAAATAAATAAATAAATAAATAAAATCACGTAAATAATTTTAATGAGATTTTTACTATACAAAAAGTCTTTTAAACCACGTTAGCATTTATGTAAAAAAATGAGATCAAGTGAAAAGAAAGAACTGACAACATGAGATTACATTTGTTGAGCGGTTAATGATAATTGTTGATTTGCGTCTTTTGAGGAGTTTGAGAGCTAATTTGGATCATTCAAAAGGTTTGGTGGCTTATTTGCACTGTTTTTAATTTAAGGATTCATTTGTTAATTTGGGATAAGCCTGAGAGCTTAGGAGGAGGTTTTGCCAATCATCTTAAAAGCATCCCATGAACAAACGTCAACGTTTCTTTCATGCCAACACTAGTTTTTCGAAACACCGGCCCTTTTGAAACATCAGCACTCTCTCTGCCAAAAACACATAGCCATTACCCTCCCCCACTAAATCCAACGGCCCGTTTTTATGTTTTCTTTCCAAATTAATTCACTTTCCCTTTTCAGAAACTTCCTAGTTTCAACAATCATCAATTTTGTCCCCAATCACGTGCACAGCTTGTCAATTATGTGTCAATTCCTATCCTCTATCTTAAAATCTCCACTTTTACCCATATTCTTTATCCCTTCACAGATCCCCAGGTTTCCCGTAACTTCAGCTTCGAGTTATTTATTTAGCCGCAGCTTCCACTCTATTCTAAGCTTTACTATTATTTCCGGCTGTTGGGATTGATTCTTTTGTTTCTGAGTTCCTACATTTTAGGGGTTTCTATGAGAATTCAGATTGCCAACAGGAAACTCATTTTGGAAGCCCATTTCTTTGTTGATTCTAGTGTAATTGGTAGCGTGAGCTGAACTTCTGGGAAGATTTGCTTATTGGCTTTTTTTGGTTGGTGAGAGGGATTCAGAATTTTGGGTCTTTATTGAAAACCCGTTTAGTAGTTGATTAGTGCAGTTAGGAGATTGAGGGGGTTTTCTCGGATTGTTTTGGTGGATTTTGAGAAATTTGGATTCGTGGCAAAAACTATCTCATTGCAATTTGGACGGTGAGATCAAATTCGTTTCCCATTTTTCTGCGAACTTGAACTTTTGGGTGTCTCGTGCGGATTTTGGATTCTGATTGTTAAATTATTGGTCATTCACCTTGGAATGCTGATTGAAATCGAGGGCAAGGGAATAGTAATTCGTTTCTCTCATGTGGTTTTGATAAGATATTGTTGTTGGATTGAGAGCAGTTGAAAAGTTGGGGATTTGAGATCAAAGATTGCAAATTTCTATTTGTGGGTTTTGGCTGCATTGAGAATTCAGGATCAAGAGGTTGGAATCTCTTACTTTTATCCATATCTTGTGATAGGTTATCTGCAACTAACATTTCTTTTGTTATTAATTGTTAATAACATTAGGATCTTTCACTGCACTGATTTTAGTATGCTAAACTACTAAAGATCAGAGGAATTTTATCTCATCCGTCTTTTTCTTTCTTCTCTTGCCATTTTAATAAAAGAGAGTACTTTGTCAAATAAGCTAGAATCTGGATTATATATATTTTCAGGTGAAAACAGGCTTATTCAATCATCATTGCTGGTTGCTATAGGTATCTTGAATTGAAGATTCCTGTGACAATTCCACATATTAATTTATTTTCTTGCTTTTTTTTTTTTCTTTGTACTTAAATGCAATGGTATAACCATATTATTATGAAATCCTCATAGTATTACTTGAGTTTGTTGGCTACTGACTGCCTAAGATCACCGTTATTTGAATCATTTACATTTCCATTTCCATTTCTTTGTAACTTCTCATTTTTTTCTCAATTCTTTTTCTTTTTATTTGGGCATGTTGTGTTTTGATAAAACAAACCATCTAAAACGCAGACTTACAAGATATGGATATTAGTAATGAGGCCAGTGTTGATCCATTTTCAATTGGACCTTCAACAATTATGGGTCGAACAATTGCATTTAGAATATTGTTCTGCAATTCAATGTCACATTTCAGGCATCAAGTCTTTCATTTTCTGTTGAAATTCATCTATAGATGTAGGGAGTTTTTGGGAAACATGATATCATGGTTGCGTCCTCAAAACCCTCAAGGGATATTGGCAATGGTGACAATTATTGCTTTTCTTTTGAAACGATATACAAATGTAAAGTTGAGGGCTGAAATGGCTTATAGAAGGAAATTTTGGAGGAATATGATGAGAGCTGCATTGACATATGAGGAGTGGTCGCATGCTGCTAAGATGCTTGACAAAGAGACCCCAAAAATGAATGAATCAGATCTTTATGATGAAGAACTGGTGAGGAACAAGCTTAAAGAGCTCCACCACCGCCGCCAAGAGGGATCTTTGAGAGATATAATCTTTTGGATGAGGGCTGATCTGATTAGAAATCTTGGTAATATGTGCAATTCTGAGCTTCACAAGGGTAGGCTTCAAGTACCAAAACTCATTAAGGAGTATATTGATGAGGTCTCAACTCAGTTGAGAATGGTTTGTGACTCTGATTCAGAAGAGCTTTCATTGGAAGAGAAGCTCTCTTTCATGCATGAAACTAGACATGCTTTTGGTAGGACAGCTTTGCTTTTGAGTGGGGGTGCTTCCCTGGGTGCCTTTCATGTTGGTGTTGTGAAAACACTGGTGGAGCATAAGCTCTTGCCAAGGATAATTGCTGGTTCTAGTGTGGGATCCATCATGTGTTCTGCTGTTGCAACTCATTCGTGGTCTGGGCTTCAGAGTTTTTTTGAGGATTCTTGGCACAAATTTCAATTTTTTGATCAGCTGGGTGGAATTTTTACAGTTGTGAGGAGGGTCATGACACAAGGAGCTGTTCATGAGATTAGGCAGTTGCAGTGGATGTTAAGGAATCTTACGAGTAACCTCACATTTCAAGAAGCATATGATATGACAGGCCGGATTCTTGGAATAACAGTTTGCTCCTCAGGAAAGCATGAACCACCCAGATGCCTTAATTATTTGACTTCTCCTCATGTTGTCATATGGAGTGCAGTAACTGCTTCTTGTGCCTTTCCAGGCCTCTTTGAAGCACAGGAGCTAATGGCAAAGGATAGGAGTGGAGAACTTGTTCCTTATCATCCACCCTTCCATTTGGATCCTGAGGAGGGTTCTGGAACATCGGCACGTCGATGGAGGGATGGTAGCCTGGAGGTTGACTTGCCTATGATGCAATTGAAGGAGCTATTCAATGTTAATCATTTCATTGTAAGTCAGGCAAATCCTCACATTGCTCCGTTGTTGAGGATGAAGGAGTTTGTGAGAGCATATGGTGGTAACTTTGCTGCCAAGGTATGGCTGTTGGGTTAAAACTCCTTTTATCTTATTATTCTTGGTTGGTAATGTTCTTTTGTTATATTATTTCTTATTTATAAGCAGTATGAAAGGCCTTCTACGATAACTTATTCACAGTTTGTTTTTGCTTAGTTTAAACTTAGATTATATCATAATAACAGGGGATGCAAATACAAAAAGATAGTGCCATTGAGTGTGAACAATGGAAAAGCATGTTTTGGGTCCAAAGGGATTGCTCATTAGCAGCTTTGACCCCTCCTTACTCTTTGAATATTCGAGGCAATAGGCAGAGCTCTATGAAAGATTTATATACCATGGTTGTTGGTTCCTGGCCTACTCATTTGATGTCTTGTTTGATTATTTTGCTTAGTTCTTTTTCTTGTCTTTTATTTGTATGATGAAAGTGAAAATAACTTTGTTACTTTACATTGCAGCTTGCCTGGCTCACTGAAATGGAGGTAAAACATAGATGCAATCAGATATTGGAACTTGGCTTTCCATTGGGGGGACTTGCCAAGCTGTTTGCTCAAGATTGGGAGGGTGATGTTACTGTAGTTATGCCAGCTACACTTGCGCAGGTGTACTCACTTGTATCCTATTAAAATTTGAACAGTTAAAATATGTGTCCATTTCTATTACTCTTGTTAATTGATCACAAAAATAAAAAATGGAATGTAATTATTTCTGGATTTATGCTGTTGAATACCTGCAACTATCTCTGCACGTTCACATTTTAACATGAAAGTTGGAGAAGTATTTCCATAGGGGCCAACATGCCTGCCTTTTTCTCAACATCTCATTTAATGTTGCAGTATTCGAAAATTATACAAAACCCATCTCAAGTGGAACTCCAGAAAGCTGCCAACCAGGGGAGAAGATGCACCTGGGAGAAGCTTTCAGCCATAAAAGCGAATTGTGGCATTGAGCTTGCTCTTGATGAGTGTGTCGCGATTCTTAATCACATGCGTAGGCTAAAGAGGAGTGCTGAGAGAGCTGCTGCTGCTTCTTCTCATGGCTTAGCTGGTCCATTCAAATTCAGTGCTTCAAGAAGAATTCCTTCTTGGAATTGCATTGCACGGGAGAACTCAACGGGCTCCCTTGATGAAGATGTTACAGATGTTGCTTCCCATATGCGTCATGGAGTTGGTGGGTCCACAGGAGCATCACACTGTGGTCGGAATTGGCAGAACCATCGAAACACACATGATGGAAGTGACAGTGAATCAGAAAATGTAGATTTACATTCTTGGACAAGATCTGGTGGGCCATTGATGAGGACTACTTCTGCAGATTTGTTCATTGATTTTGTTCAGAATCTAGATGTTAATTGCGAACCTGCCAAGGGTTCAATGGTTCATCCTAATTCTCCTGGGGTTCAGATGGGAAGCAGAGATTTGTACAACAGTCCGAGTTCTAGGTTGCCTACACCAGATAGAAACTCAGAGTATGAATTTGATCAGAGGGATTTGAGCAACAGAACTCCTGCAAATGGCTCTAGCCTTACAGTCACTGAAGGTGATCTTTTGCAGCCTGAAAGGATTCACAATGGCTTTGTGCTCAATGTTGTTAGAAGACAGAACTTGGCTCTTTCAAACAGCAATCAAGATTCAGAAAATTACAACAGAGATGTAGCTGAATTTATGCAGCTTGATTGTCCAGAAAAGGAGACAGATGTTAGCTCATCATCTGAAGATGGTGATGATACTACAGGGGAAAATGCCCTAGATGAAAAAGGGAGTGATTTTAGTTCGCCACACCATTCTAGTATAAACGATGGCAATAGTCAAAATGTTGTGGATGCTTAAATTTGAGGTCATTTTGCTTCACTTAAGTCTTTTTTGAATGTTAGGAAGAGTTTCCTTCTAAGATTCGTACGAGCGTATACCATGGTTGTAATTGTTTCTTGTTCAATGAAAAGAGATTTCTACTCTCTTGCACAGACGCATTCACACTCATGCATTGATTTGCATGCATTACAAACAAGATCGGGAAATGGTGGAAGACTCTTTAGGTTCCGTCTTCGTTATAAAGATTTAGTAGAAGATTCATTAGCTAATCATCGGCATGTGATTTGGATTAAGTTTTGTACGTAGAGCAGTTGCAGTCTGCTATTGTTTTGGTTTATCTGTTACATCCGACATAATAAAAAAGCGTTCATGCATCGATTTACATGCATGTGATGTGGGTTAAGTTGTGTTCAGGGAGCAGTTGAGTTCTGCCATTGTTTTGGTTAATGATATGATACAGTTGACATAATAAAAACCAAAGAACTCAGAGGATAAAAGTGCCTGCCTAACGACAAGATTCCACATGACAATGCAATCCAGGCCGTGCTATTTACCTTTTCCTCCAAAGATAACTTGCACGTTCGAAAGATTCCATGTCATGTTCACTCTGGATGTTATGATTACTTACCACCAAAGAATTTTTGTCGTAATTTGATCTTCTGATTTTTCCTTTAAAAGATTGAGATTCTAAGGATAACATGGGCCTTTGTTTTTTTTTTTTTTTTTATCTAATAATAATCTATACAACAAAAAATAACAATTTCCTCCTCAAAGTTCTCTTTAACCTATTTTAGGATTTTAATTTGAGACTCTTAGAGGCTTAAATTCTTACTTCAGATGGTGTCCTGTAAGGGACTTGAAACTTTGGACATTGAGGCCCGATTCTCTTCACCCATCTTTGAATTCTCACCAATCTTATGATTAGTCTTTGACCTGATGTTATCAATGCTCAATAAGTCTTTGATGGGGAACAACTTTCACTGGAATTGATGACCTAAAGGATTGAAAAGAAAGAAGTAGATGGGAGGAAAAGAATTTAAAAAGAAAGAATTGGATGGGAGGAAACTAACGAAGTCAAGGCATGGGTCTCCAAAACTACATGGAAGATCCAATAAATGCACATTCACAGTGGGATCCAAAAGGAACAGTCCACCGATACTAGGCCTAACATCCAGTTGGAATTTTCCGTGTGCCAACTGCTAATGCTATACAATATGAGGCGCGGTGTTCCCGTGTGCTGCTTTCTGTCGGCATCTAAGATGTCCGCTGTCCCAGGACTCTCTAATTACCAAATCCTGGAACTCAAGACCTAAACCTTTAGCCCATCAGCCAGTGGTTTTTGAAAGGAAAATTATTGGAATATCTTCTGATAAAATATATTTTTTAAAATTAATTTAATTTA